AGTTGGTGCTATACAAAAGAGTGGACATGATTTGAGTTTATTTGTTGATCAATACTTCTATGTTCAAAGTTATCGAGAGTGCTACTCTTTTCCCATATATCCTGTTCCTTCAATTTGGAAACCAGATTGTAATGTTGATGGTGATAGTGAAGTTGTTCTTCCTCCTTTGTCTAAGACGCAACCAGGAAGGCCAAATAAGAAGAGGAATCGTTCGAATGGTGAGAAAGTAAGGCAAATTACTTGTAGTAGATGTGGGAAGGTTGGCAATCACAATAAGAAATCGTGTAAGGAGGCTTTGCGATTTTTTGTAGTTGCTTTGTGATTGTAAAAATTTCGTATTCATAAATTTCTTGAAGTAGCAGTTTGTGCTGTTGAGCGCTGAGTAATAATCTTCTATGTTTTTTAATAAAGTGACATTGAATTGAAAGTGAAAATATTCTTAGTTTCAGATTTTAATTTTTGAAATTGTTTGTGATAATATTGTTTGGTTGGCTTTCGGAAATAAACGTGACTGTTGAATGTTTGTTTTGCAGATTATGTGAATATTGTATAAAAAGTGAACATATTCTCTATTTAAGTTTTTAGTTCAAAATAGTTGATTTTGTGATAATAGTGTGAGGCTCTTGTTATGAATTGAAACTAGTTATAAATGTGATGAATTGAATGAATGTGAATTAATATTCTAAATAGATGTGGTCAATGCTTTATGTTTTGATTAAAGTAACAGTGGATTGTAAGTGAAAATATTTTTTGTTTCGAATTTTAGTTTTTCAAATTGTCATATTATTGTGAGGCAGCAAATAAATTGTTGTGATAACATTGTTTGGTTGGCTTTCGGAAATAAACTTGACTGTTGAATGTTTGTTTTGCAGATTATGTGAATATTGTATAAAAAGTGAACATATTCTCAGTTTAAGTTTTTAGTTCAAAATAGCTGATTTTGTGATAATAGTGTGAGGCTCTTGTTATAAATTGGAACTAGTTATAAATGTGATCAATTGAATGAATGTGAATTAATATTCTAAATAGATGTGGTCAATGCTTTATGTTTTGATTAGAGTAACAGTGGACTGTTAAGTGAAAATATTCTTTGTTTCAAATTTTAGTTTTTCAAGTTGTCATAATATTGTGAGGCAGCAAATAAATTGTTGTGATAATATTGTTGTTTGAAAATTGAGTGATCTGTATAAAACTGAAAATATTCTCAGTTTTAAAGTTTCTAAGTTTGAAAATAAGTGATTGAAACAACAATAAGTTTGAAGATATTCTCAATTTTAGTTTTATGCAGTGTTTTGTGAGGCAACAAAACACTGCATAAAAACTAAAAATATAAACAAAAACATCAACAAAGCACTGATTGTGATGCAGTAAAGTCTTGTGTCCACTATTTTCACATGTAATACTATTTTCGCTTTTGCCATATAGTAGTGTGAGGAACAGGATAATAGAAACTGAGAAGATGGACAAGAACATCAACAAAGCTCGGGTGCATATACCTTTGAGAGTATGACAAAATATTCCATTACACATCCTAGAAATTGTAATATGTTTGTTAGGTAATATGCTTGGAACTATTAACAAAAACATTAGTCATTGTATCAGAGTGTTACAAAAAATAGTTCATTGAGTTACACGTCAAAAAGATTTCATTGAAGGTTGCAATCTTGACTCTACTTGACTTTGATTGATCTTTGTGGATCACTAAGGAACTCATGTACCATGTCTGCTCTGAGTCTTGTGGATGTGCCTGGTGGTAATGTGTTTGGAATTGGTTAATGCCTCATGTATTGTCTTATGATGTAGCAAACAATAATTCCACAGTCATTCCTACAGAAATCATTTTTGACACAGTTAGGGAAAAAAGAAATTTTTTTGAAAAAGATATTAAAATTTGTTAGTTAGAATAAATTAACATACGTCATTGCTTCTTGTTGAGGGCTGTCTTTGACTGATTCAATCTTGACATTAAGATTCCAGGCTTTTTCTGCTTGACAAGGTGTATCCTTCATGTATTGATGGATGATTTTTTGCTGTAAAAAACATCAACATAAAGTATGTAATGATGTACATCTGATTATTGTAATGCTAATCTGAGATTGTTCTTACCAGTTGATTTGCAACGTTGTAGTGCTTGTCCTTTCCTTTTCTTGGTCTCAAAGAGTTGAAATGTTTCCAAGTCCCCAAGTGTTTGTCGATAACAAATAATGTCCAATGATTGAAATTGTGGATGGGGATATAGATGTATCGACATGGGAGGGATTCTTGCAAAGTATTTTTAAAAATCTTTTTCCTTTGTTTTGAAGTTTTCTTTTTCAACATTGGCTGTTTTTTACAAAAAAAAATGTGAATATTCACAGTAATGGTACGAACTCAATATTTATATGTTGATAAAAAGCAACAAAACATGATTAACTATGATTTGTCACTCAAATTGTTTTGAAATCTGAGTATATTCCCAGCAATAATACCAAAATCAAAATTTGAGAATATTCACAAGAATGATAACAAACACAAAAAATCTACTTTAAAACCAAAATTGAACGGAAGATAAAGTATAGAATTGGCACATGCACATTGATTCCTTACCCAATATAGACTTGACAGTATGAAAGACTTGCCATTGTGCTCTGCTCCATCACTAGAATTCTGTGCTTATGGTTCTCTTTGAAGAATCTCAGCATATGCACCAATTGTCTATCAAATTGAAACACAAAAGTGATGTTAACAAATTAATGAGAAGTTTTTCAGTGTTAAAATATTACAAATACTATACGTACACAGCTGGATATGTCTGTCCCTTTTACCAAGTTCTTGATATCATTAATAAACACACAATTTTCATATCTTGCGCCAAACCATATACAAGCACTACAAAACAATAAAAAATGTGTTAATAATTAAGTCAGAATATTTTTAGAAAACAGAGCTATTTCTCAGTTTCATTTCTTATATTGTATTACATGAAAAATTGAAAGATTTATGTAAGATTATACCTTGATTCTGTTTGCTTTTCTTTCTAAAGAATTTGTAGTTTATAATTATCTTCAGGAGGTAGCAATTGAGCCACAGCATACTTGTTTGAAATTGCCTCATCTTTGTGTTCCTTCTCTTTCTCAACTTTAACTTTCTTGCCTCTATACTCATAATCTGACACCTCAGTAGTCTTCCTTGCTTTAGCTTTGATATTTTTAATCATGGAATTCTGTAGATTTGTTTGTCTTGATTCTGTCAGATCATCGGCTTTTATTGCACAAACTTGTTGGGTTAAGTCATGGACTTCTTCCTCCAGTAACTGATTCTACAACTGAGAATTTTGACAATCTTTCACATTTGTATTTGTCTCACAATGTTTTGTTACAAAAGGTTGTTGCGTTATCTCATGGACTTCTTTCTGATGGAGCTCTTTGTCCACCACTTCAGAATTTTCATGGACGTCTTTCTGATGGAGCTCTTTGTCCACAACTTCAGAATTTTCATGGACGTCTTTCTGATGGAGCTCTTTGTCCACAACTTCAGAATTTTCATGGACGTCTTCACAAACTTCTTGGGTTATCTCATGGACCTCTTTTTCAGCCAATTGGTTATGCAATCGAGAATTTTCATCTTTCAATTGTTGTATTTGTGCTGTGAGTAGCCTGTTATCCTCTTCAAGTTTATTTATGTAGATGGTCTTCACTGTGTTGTCTAGTTGCAAATTGTTGTTCTCAGTTTAAAGTTTCTCAAGTGTTTGTTGATGAATTTGTTCTTCTCCCTCAGGTGCATCATTGAGTATAATGTTGCAGAAGTCATTAAAGTCTTCATTTGCTGGCTTTTGTTCTTGGTGGCACTCTTCAGCATATTGACCATCTTCTTCAGAATCTTCTTCTTCTTCTTCAGTATTTTCAGCATCTTGTTTTTGTTGTTCTTGTTCTTGTACTTCTTGTTCTTCTTCTTCAGTATCTTCTTGTTCTTCATCTTCAGCATTTTCAGCATCATCTTTTTCTTCTTCTTCAGTGTCATCAAGTTCTTCATCACTTTCCTCATTCAATTGAGCACTAGTTACCTGTAGGTCAACATACAATAGATATTAGTTTTTGAAATAATTGAAGTTTAGGAAACTAAAAAGTTTCTCAGTAATAATTCAGTGTATAAAAATAGGGATTTTTCCCAACTTGAATTGAATTTAAAATGAGATGAGGATGTGACCTGTGTTGTTGTCAGCTGATGTAGTGATATGACTTTCATACGTTTATGTAATTTGGCAAGATTCCACTTGATCACCCTTGGGCATGCTTTGCTAACTTCAGGGTGGATGATCAATGTGTGCTCACACAACCAATACTGCAAAGCAAATGTAAAGAATTTTTGTCATTTGAATAAGAAGTAATACTATTGGTTATTAACAACAAACTAATAGAATAGAGTAAAGATGTACTTACTAAGAGAGCCACAACACATCCTGTGACTTTTGCTGGATTTTTGTGGTATTTTTTAATTGAAGACATCAGTGTGTTCCTTATTGCTTCTGCCCAATTGTATTTTCTCATTGAGTTTGTGTCTTCCATGTAATTAAGAAATACCCATCCAACTGTTGTTCCTAATGTAGAGAAAAAAGCTTCAAACAAGTATACATACACAGCATCCTTATCACATCTTCATTGTCTTCTTTCTTCTTGCTTTTCAATGCTTTTTGCAACAAGTTGGTGATGGTTGTGCTCGATAGCCTTTCAGTTTGTATGCATCTTCATGTCAGAAATGATGATCTGCTTTTATTTCCATAACCAAGATATATCGACTCATCTCCACAAGATATACCGAAGATGGACTTGATGTCTTCTGTTGTTAGATTTACAGTTTCTGGTCCTAACTGGAAAGAACCACTGCTGCCTGGCTGGTATGTTTGAATTATTTTCAATGCAATGTCATCATATTTTCTGCATTGTTTACAATTCATCTTATTTTTCAATATTGCATCAAACAATGCCCAAAATGGGGTTTTCTTCAAGCCATTAATATGCTCATTCTTGAGTTTAATTTGCTGTAATAGCTTCACTATTGTCACCATGTTTGATCTGAAAGTTTGTTCTTGTACTTTCACTACAAAAAAATCAGGATTTAACAGCGGCCAAAACTGCCGCTAAAAGCAGAAAAAAGTGTCGCTAAAAACTAGAAGATCTTTACCCGCGGTTGAAATAACGACGGCCAAACCGCCGCAATAGGCCCGTCGGCATATCCTTATAGTGACATTTTATTCAAGCGCTGGTATAATTATTTTTATTGCGACGGTCGATGTCGTGACAGTTGCAAATGTCGCTATATCTTAAATTTACCCATTACTTGCTAACTTTATAACGACGGGTCGACTGCTGCTATATCCTTTACTTTTGTGACATATTGTGAACCGCTGTTATATTTTGACTCTATTCCATCAGTTTTACACTATCGCTATAGCCATAGAATTCTTTTTTGAATTTTATTTATAGCGACGGTTATAAATCGCGGTTATAGGCTATTTTTATTATTCAATTAGTAATAATATATAGCTTGAAATTTTTAATGATTTGCTAACCATTAATGGTTGTTTCTCACTTATCCCTGCTCACATTATATATCTATAAAAACACTATTTTATTCTAATGGCTCCATACTCAATAATTGTAAAAAGTAAAAGAGTCTGCATTATCATAATCTCAAAATATTCAAAACACCTTAATTAAAGGGTTCATTACATATGCTTGTAATAAAAAATAGATCCAATATTTCTAGCAAACTAATAGCCCACACTATAATCTAAAAGGTACAAATAAACTTGTCACATGACAATAGTACTCAAATGTATTACTCGTGACGCCATTTTATAAAGACCTCCATAAAAAATGTTCAAATCAAGAAATGACGTCCATTGTTTGATTAAGAAAGGAATCCCAATTTCATCTACAAATGCCTGCACAAAATAAAAAACAAAGTCTCATTAAAATCCAGAGTCCTTGTATGAGTAATAGAGATCTGCTATCAATGAACAAAAAAACAAGATACGAATTATATCACATTTCTAGTCTCATAAGACACCACCTTCGGTGCAGTAAGGTCACACTTGTTTCCAATGAGAAGCTTGTTTACATTCTCACTTGCATACCGGTCAATTTCACTTAACCATTGCTTGACATTGTTAAAACTCTCTTGATCGGTCACATCGTAAACAACCTGACAACAAAACCACCAGAATAAGACTAAATCCATACATTAAAAAGCAAACTCAACAAGAAGACAATTCAATACTTACAATAATGCCATGTGCACCGCAATAGTAACTGCTACTGATTGTCCTAAAATGTTCTTGTTCAGCAGTATCCCACTGCTTGTCCAGACAAAAGAAGAAAGATGAGAGTTGTTAGCAAGAAAACAGTTTATAGAAAAACAGGGGACACCATGTTGAAGAAAACATCACAATAAATTTTGACTAAAAACAAAATTGTCATATAATTAACATATAATCTCAAGAGTGTGAATTCTCTGGATTTCATTTCGAATAAAGCTATCCTTCAAATTTTTACAAAATTTAAGCATATTTTTATGCAAAATTTCCATCCTATGGCAAAGAAATGTTTATATGGCATTCCTTATTTACACAGATTCCCAATCAAACACTAAATCAAAGCTGAAACTGAAATTTACAGCTTTCATAGACAGAACAAACTAATAATGCACTTAAAACTTAAAACCTGGAGTTTAATGGTTTTCCCATCCTGCTTAACTGTGCGGATTTTCTGCAGAAGAGAACATAAGAATAATTTACAACTTTACAATCTATGTTAAGGTAATCAGCAACCCAAACCAAGGGAAATAAAAAACATTGCTTACGAAGTCAACTCCAATAGTGCTAATGTAACTTTCCAGATATGAATCATTCTGATTACAGAAATAATAAAAATGGTTAATGAACTTGGCATCTGTCTGGAGGCCACATTTGTCTGGAGACCAGAAAACATTGAAAAATAACACAATCACATCAAAACAACATGGCTAATTAAAGCAATCTTGAAAAACAAAGAAGGAACAAAAATGGAGGGGGAAAAGAAGAAGAAGAAGCTGTGTAAAAGAGGGAGAACTTACAGCAAACCTCAAAAGGAGACATGATTTGCCAACACCCGAATCTCCAATGAGCAAAAGCTTAAACATGTAGTTGCTGCAAATAAGCAACCAAAAAAAAAATAAAATAAAGTGGAAATAATATTTGTATCAAAATGTTGGAAAGTACACAGAAAGAGAAAATAGTTTCTTATAATATCTCCACAAAAAATAAAAATCAATGTGCAAGACCACCTTGTTCCCACAAGTGAATAAAGTAAATTGAAAGCTTGAGAGACTTATAAAATTATTCATAAATGATAATACACACACACAAGCATTTTGTGTTTCTGGTCATAAATATTACTACCTCTAAAAGTACAAGAGGGTTTCCAATCATTACGACTCTATAGTATTATCTATGCTCATGCAGAAAGGTTGAATAATTAATCAGTTAACAATTTAGAAAGGAAATTGATAAAAGAATAATCCGCCACGCTTGCTTGCATGCATAATGAGACAGCGGATGCTCAAATTTACTAGTAACCTCTATGAATGCAATGTCATTGTATATATAGAAATTATACATCAAATCACAAACAACTCTCAAGCACACAGAACACAAATCAAACAGTGTATAAAATTCAACTATATCATATTTTTTTTCTAGTCATATAAATGCATAATAAAACCATACTCTGAATGTATGACCATTCAGATTCTTTCTTTCTTTTTTTCATTTTAAGTGAAATGCATAAAGGACATAACAATTAAACTTGACATAATTCAACAAACAAGATCAAAATTCTTTATAAGGGTTAAAGTTGATATGCGTTGATTTGGCCTAGGCAAGCAGATTTATTAAATTTGAGCTGAACCAACTCCTTTTTCTAATTTGTATGTATTATCATTCTTGAGAGTAATCATTAATCACATTAAGAAGGTAGATTCAGTTTAACCCCCAATAAGAGGGAATTATTCTTGGAAGCCCATTAGGCTCTGTTTTTGTTTAGTTTGTATAGTTGTAGAAAGAACTAAGCCACCCAATCCAACCCATTCAAAGATCTAATAACGAAAGTAATAACATAAGCAAGCTAACACACCTAATCAATTGACAAATAACAATCAATTAACCACATAAAACCAAATAATTAAATCTTTAAGACTACTTTCTGAAATGCAACTCAGAATTGAAAACTATGTAAAGAATTTGGGGGAAATGAACACAAAAAGAAAATCACAACACTAGAAACTAGTCCACAAAATATATTTGAAGTACACGGATTAAATTGGAAAAGAAGAAAAGAAGCCCCATGTGCTTGCAAAACCAGATTTGCAAATATCTACTCATCACAAGATTTGGTTCTCTTAGGCTACTCTGACTCTATCAGATTGGACGAAACACCTAAAGTTATCGCAAAAAGATTTAGTTCTTGTAATCCAATGTTACATGCACAATATTAAGTCACTTCTTCATCCATTTATTTTTGTATTTTTTTATCACATTTTTTTGCTTATATCACCTATACTAGGCTACTCTAACTCTGTTTACGTCTTTGCTTATATCACCTAAAGTTCTGTTTACCTCTTTGTTACATGCACAAGATTTGGTTCTCTTAGGCTACTCTGACTCTGTTTACCTCTTTGCTTATATCACCTATACTTTAAAATTGTGCATAAAAAATATAGCATTGAGTAGTCACTTTCAGGTGAAAAACAAACAAGCCAAAAAGAAAAAAAAAATCATAAGAACGTATTAATAAATAAGAAATGAATAAAACGAAAACACTCACCAATATATTAACATGTTTCAACTTATTTTGTTATTTATTTCAGAATAGGTGAAAATTTTATTCTACAATAATGGTTAGGTAAGGTTTGCTCCATTCTATCATCACCATTTATTATTTAATTACAAAAATTCTGTCAAATAGATGGGATTCATGCATTTAATGAGTTATGTTTGATTCATTGATTTATTAAATTTAAATTTTTCCTATTGTTATGTTCTTATATAATTAATGGTAATTAAGATAACAGTTAATATGATCACTTTATTTATTATTTTTTTAATAAATATATTTATTTTTATTTTATAGGTAACATATGATCTATAAAAGAAAAGGAAATGGCCAAATACAATAATGGTTTCTTTCTAGGGCCAAAATAATAGTGGTGATTAAATAGTTCCTTTTTTGACAGGAAGGTTTGGTCATTGACCCATCGTTGAGAGCATCATACCAGCATCAACAATTCTACTTACCCTCAAAAAATATTCAATGTAGTTGTGGCCACACAATTTATCACAAAATTGGACACAACTTTATAAAATTGAACATTTTTTGAAATTTATAGAATAATTCTAAGTCCACCCAATTTTATCACAAAATTTGACACAACTTTTTCATATGAGATGTAACCATTAAATGTGAGTCCCACCTCCATATGAAAGAAGTTGTGTTTGATTATGTGATCGGATTATGTGCACGTAAAAAATTGATCAGAGTGAGAACTCACCAGCAGGGTCCGCATTGACTAAACTAATGAGCTGCAAAGAAACTTTTTGTCCAAGGAACTCATGAACATTATCAAGAGTGGAAGGATTGAAGTCATTGAAATCCAAAACATTATTTTGCTGTAACTATGCCCAGGCCAAGTTCCCCAATAACCCGTTCTTCTAAAAATAGTCTTCACTTTAATGTTGAGGCATTTCAATCTGTTCTTCAATTCTACCAGATCTCTGCAATAAAATGATGATGTATACTCAAAGATTTGTCTTGGTCACCAAGTAATTAAAGTGAGCATTCAAGATGTCAAACTATAACTATTAGGCTAAATGGGAAAGAGAAAACAGAGGGGAAAAAAAAGGTTCTTTTATTAGGATCATTGTAGAACTAAAACCCCTTACCATGAAGATTCAAGAAGCTACTAAAACGTTATTTTAAATTCATCACGACAAAGTTCTCAAAAAAAGGCTTGAAATCCATTTGTAAACTATGAAATCTAAATTTGAACTAGTTCCTTGAATAAATAGTGCCAAATCATTTAATTTCCTATCCATTAAATCCAAACACAACTTATTTCAAATGCCACGAAAACCAAAAAGGCATTCTTTCCAAATGCTATGAAAATCACACCAGTCATCCATACACAAAAGTTGCATTTCCAAATTCTCCTAATTGTTACCAACAAAATTCACATCAGATCAACATCTATATCTATGGTGATAGAGAAGGTCAGATTTGAAGAAATGTGCGTACCTTGTAGAGTTCAACTAGCACGTTGTCCAGAGATTCTTGAGATTCAAGGGAGCATAGATAGCGGAAAGATGGAAAATTGAGCTTTCATTTATCATGTTTAGAAAATATGCATAAAATTCAAACAATATCAATGCCCAGATCTTTAACCCACAATAGTACAATCAAGGTTTGGCTTAAAGTCATTCTCCTAGAAAACTAATCTTTAACCCACCATTTATTGATTTATCATATAAAATTCACCAAATTTATGTTGGTTCAAAATGGGAAGAATTTATTAATCCACCTATGTATAAAACTTATTGCTTAAAGACAAAGGAAAGTATGGGAAGAATTTATTAATCCACCTATGTATAAAACTTATTGCTTAAAGACAAAGGAAAGTATGGGAAGAATTTATTAATCCACCCATGCTATCATCAAGACAATGGATTGAAGTGAGAGAAACAAGTAGATATCAGCAAATATCAACAATCAATCTAATCTATTAATAGTTCTTCTCCCTCTTCCAAAATCCTATGAGCTTGTTTTCTAAATTTTTGATTTGATTATAAGAACAATTGATGGCATTCATGAAGTACCATCAACAATGTAATTTTTTTAAAGGGGTTTCAAAACCTCTTCACTACAACAAGGATTGCCATGTTTGATTTTAGCAATCCATCACTAGCATTTGAACCCTTGAACTGAGGTGCATGGGGTCATACTCAAGAGCAACAGGCTCAAGGAGGGCTAGTATGGATTCGTATGTCCAAACTGCAATAAATAGGATTGTTCATTCAAATTCAACAGTTCATTGATGGTTATAACTGTGCTCATAATAATAAGAACAAGGACAAGAATAAAATACCATTACAATGCGAAACTGTCTAGCATCATCAACCCCAGAAATTGAATAGCAATTGCTTTGCCTCAAGTATTTATATTCATTTGCACTTTTCAAATTCAACATCTCTGTGTTACAAAGAAACAAAGTGTAAAAGAATAATAAATACATAAAAAAAAAAGGGAAAAGGTGTAACATAGAGTATAATATAAAGGTTGAAAAACTAGGCTAGCATGTGACCTTGTTATGCACATATGCACAAATCTGACACAAACTAGGATATATCAGAGATTACAATGTGAAGCAATCGAATTCATGCCTCTCACTCTCTCTCTCTCTCTCTCTCTCTCTCTCTATACATATATATGTATATGTATATTTATATATCTTTGTGTGAGAGTGTGGAAATTTTTGGGTAAACTAAACCAACAAGGGTTCAATTTGATCTTTGCAAAGTCAAAAAAATCCAAATTCCAAAATGGTAGTGTTCCCTATGAGACAACATTAATAATTTCACATAAACTCAAGTTGATAATGTTGTAATTTCACATTAACAATTGATTCGACACTACCAAGAACCAAACTTCATATATTAATTGATATAATCAACAAGCTATAATGCATATATAGATAGATAGGTTAGTACCAGCTGTGCAAGTGCTTGTGGAGGTTGATGATGTACTCCCTAGTCACCACCTCTTTGTTTCTTCCCTTTATCTTCTCCTCCTTAGCTAGATCAGAAGGTGTTTAGGTGGAAATGTGGAGCTCTAAGTGTGTTCTATTCTGGATTTTGGGGCTGCAACCTGATCTCCAATTGACCTATGATGGTGGCAGCTCTGTTTTATTTTCTTGTTTTTTGGTAGCTGCTATTGGGTTTTGGGGTTGCAGACTGTTTTTTGGTTGCAACCAGGACATGAGAAGTAATAATCAAATAAATCAATATGTTTTTTTAGTACTTCCTAGTTTAAAAACTCAGCCATAGAATAGAGTGAGACTTCACAAAGCATGCAATTTTGTTTCTAGAAGCTGTATATTATGGGAGGAAAAAAGGTCCAAAACTCACCTCTCTCTATGGAAAACAAAAGGCTTAGAATGAAATCCAATTGGAGGTTAAGCCGGACTTTTTCACATCTAACCAATGAAATTAAAGTCATTTTTGTTGGATCTTCCCCGAGACAAGTGTGACCTTAACTATGTTATCTAGCTACCTAGAACCACTTTGTTGTGCATCTAACCAATGAAAGTAAAGTCATTTTGGGTTTTTATGATGGTTGCTGAACTAGTAAAAATGGTGGGATGTTTCAAAGTTCTTCTTTAGTTGTGTATTTGGATTCAACAAAAAAGGGGCACAATTTAGTGTTGAATTTTCTCTAATCACATTATTAGGCCAAGAAAACTATACGAGTGTACAAGCATTAAAATAATGGACATCAATTTTCTCAAAAATAAATAAATAAATAAACTAAAACAAAATGAAATATAACAATAAAGAAAAAGCTTGTTGTGGCATTTTATCAAACACATACAGGACACATGAATGTGTGTAGCATCAACAACTAAAATACAAGGATCATACTTTAAAATTTATAAAAATTGATCAATATTTATTTTTAACCCAATAAATATGATCATGGAAAAAAAATATGCGTATCGGTATGTTTTTTTCAAATTGTGCACAAAAAAAAAAAAATCACGGTTCCGGTTACCGCAACCGTTACACTACGGCCTTTACACCCCGCAACCGCAACCGCGTCACCGCCACCGTTACGGCAACCGCAACCGCTTTTCAGAACCTTGGTTGCAACCAAGACATGAGAAGTAATGATCAAATAAATCAATACGTTTTTTTAGTACTTCCTAGTTTAAAAACTCAGCCATAGAATAGAGTGAGACTTCACAAAGCATGCAATTTTGTTTCTAGAAGCTGTATATTATGGGAGGAAAAAAGGTCCAAAACTCACCTCTCTCTATGGAAAACAAAAGGCTTAGAATGAAATCCAATTGGAGGTTAAGCCGGACTTTTTCACATCTAACCAATGAAATTAAAGTCATTTTTGTTGGATCTTCCCTAAGACAAGTGTGACCTTAACTATGTTATCTAGCTACCTAGAACCACTTTGTTGTGCATCTAACCAATGAAAGTAAAGTCATTTTGGGCTTGTATGATGGTTGCTAAACTAGTAAAAAGGGTGGAATGTTTCAAAGTTCTTCGTTAGTTGTGTATTTGGATTCAACAAAAAAGGGGCATAATTCAGTGTTGAATTTTCTCTAACCACATTATTAGGCCAAGAAAACTATACAAGTGTACAAGCATTAAAATAATGGACATCAATTTTCTCAAAAATAAATAAATAAATAAATAAATAACAAAATGAAATATAACAATAAAGAAAAAGCTTGTTGTGGCATTTTATCAAACGCATACAGGACACATGAATGTGTGTAGCATCAACAACTAAAATACAAAAATTCAAAAACCCACATTTAAACCAACCAAATTGTAACATTCCAATAGCGACTTAGTAACAATAACACTTAATCATCACACCATGATCTTCACATTCCAATTCTCAATACTGAATTGTTAATTATAGTAACGGAAATCACCACACAAAACATGAAACACAACCATATAAATCATAATAGTGGCTTGAAAGCAATTCTGTGTTTGTATTAATGCTAATGATCCTAAAAAGGAAGCTTTAACAACTAATATACAAAATCCAACAAACCCACATCTAAACCAACCTAATTGTAATAGTCCAACACCAACTTAGTAACAATAAAACTTAATCATTACATTGTCATCTTCACATTTCAATTCTCAATAATGAATTGTTAATTAAAGTAAACAGAGCATATTGTGGGCATGAATAATCAAGGAGATCATATAGAATGATGAGAAAATTACCATGAAAGACGACAAAAGGAAGAGAATATGTACTTGTTAGTGTACAAGTCAACGTGAAGACGATTAAAATTTTTGGAATTGGTTTAGAAGCCATTGATTATGGTAAAAGGAACACAAAAACCAAAGAAACCCCAAGATTTTAACATGAAATCATAGCAAAAATTTAGGGTTTTTATGGTCCCTGGAAGATTGGGAGTTGTATGAATTCTGGGTTGGGTTTATTTTGAAGCATACATAAGAAACACTGATAGAGGATGAAATATATAGATTATTCATTTATGGATTTGGTTGGTATGTCGGTACATTATGAGCGTGTTTGGAGAGAGAGAGAGAGAGAGAGAGAGAGAGAGCAAACTGACCTGAAATCAGGAACCATTGATGCATCGGTCGATACACTGATGGAGGATGAACCATTGATACACTGGTCGATACACCGGTGGGCTGTGGCTTGTGAAATCAGGAAGCCTCTGTGACTTCTTGGCGCTACTTCGTGAAAGTATAGATAGACTAGGGCATAAGAAGTATAGATAGATCGACTTAGGGTTGAACCTTTTTTTTTGGAATTGAAATTCTGAGCGCAAAATTAGAAATTTTTTGTCGCCTTATTTGTTTCACCTATTGTAGCGGTTGAGTTGTAAATGTAACTAAAAAAATATGTATAGCAGCAGTTTGGAAAATAAATGCGACTAAAAACTTAAGTTTTAATTGTAGTTAAAGACTGTCACAATAACCACTTTATAGCTGCATTTTTTGAGGCGCTGTTATAAAAAATGCTACTATAGCTTGATTTTCTTGTAGTGTTTTGTTCTTCTTCAGCAACTTCTTTTTCAGCATCTTCTTGTTTTTCGTCTTCAGTATTTTCAGCATCTTCTTTTTGTTCTTCTTCAGTGTCATCAAGTTCTTCATCACTTTCCTCACTGAATTGAGCACTAGTTACCTGTAGGTCAACATACAATAGATATTAGTTTTTTAAATAATTGAAGTTTAGGAAACTAAAAAGTTTCTCAGTAATAATTCAGTGTATAAAAATAGGGATTTTTCCCAACTTGAATTGAAATTCAAATGAGATGAGGATATGACCTATCTTGTTGTCAGCTGATGTAGTGATATGACTTTCATATGTTTATATAATTTGATAAGATTCCACTTGATCACCCTTGGGCATGCTTCGCTAACTTCAGGGTGGATGATCAATGTGTGCTCACACAACCAATACTACAAAGCAAATGTAAAGAATTTTTGTCATTTGAATAAGAAGTAATACTATTTGTTATTAACAACAAACTAATAAAATAGAGTAAAGATGTACTTACTAAGAGAGCCATAACACATCTTGTGACTTTTGCTGGATTTTTGTGGTATTTTTCAATTGAAGACATCAGTGTGTTCCTTATTGCTTCTGCCCAATTGTATTTTCTCACTGAGTTTATGTCTTCCATGTAATTAAGAAATACCCATCCAACTGTTGTTCCTGATGTAGAGAAAAAAAGCTTCAAACAAGTATACATACACAACATCCTTATCACATCTTCAGTGTCTTCTTTCTTCTTGCCTTTCAATGCTTTTTGTAACAAGTCTATGATGGTTGTGCTCGATAGCCTTTCAGTTTGTATGGATCTTCTTGTCAAAAATGATGATCTACTTTTATTTCCATAACCAAGATGTATGGGCTCATCTCCACAAGATATACCGAAGATGGACTTGATGTCTTCTGTTGTTAGTTTTACAGTTTCTGGTCCTAACTGGAAAGAACCACTGCTGCCTGGCTGGTATGTTTGAATTATTTTCAATGCAATGTCATCATATTTTCTGCATTGTTTATAATTCATCTTGTTTTTCGATATTGCATCAAACAATGCCCAAAATGGGATTTTCTTCAAGCCATTAATATGGCTCATTCCTGAGTTTGTGTGCTGTAATAGCTTCACTATTGTCCCCATGTTTGATTGAAAGTTAATCTCCATTCTCTACGCTTTCCCTTTTGCTTTTATCCGTTGAAGTTGATTTTTTATACTTTCTTATCATTTTTCTTTGCATTACTTTAGTCTTGGGGTTTCAATAGTTGCTTTCCTGCACGGAAATCAACTAGACAAGATATAAAATATTGAGAATGTGCCGTAAAAAGAATCAATCAATGTCATCTCATGAAGTCTAAATTTGATGACATTCATGGCTATAAAAACAAAATCAACATTGAAAGTTAAATTGAAAGCAAGAGAAGATTATTAACTAGGTTTTTCAATGAAATTGATTCAGAATATGAGAACATTCAGCAATCGCAGTAAAAATCAACATTGAAACTTAAATTGGAAGCAAGAGAACATGATTAACTAGGGTTTTCAGTCTAATTGATTGAAAACTTGAGAAAATTCACAACAAATCATGTCAAACTCAATATTGAAACCTAAACTGAAACAAGAAAAATGATTAAGTCCGGGTTTTCACTCAAATTGACTAAAATCTGAGAACATTAAAACAATAGTACGAAAATCAACATTGAAACCAAATTGAACCAAGAGGATATGATTCACTAAGGTTTTTTACTCAAATTTTCTAAGAATCTGAGAACATTCACAGGAATCGTACAAAATCAACTTGAAAGCTAAATTGAAACTAGAGAATATGATTCACTAAGGTTTTTTACTCAAATTATCTAAGAATTTGAGAACATTCACAGGAATCGTGCCAAAATCAACAATGAAAGCTAAATTTGAAACCAAGAGAATATGATTTACTAAGGTTTTCACTCAAATTGATTGAAATATGAGACATTGACAGTAATGGTACCACACTTAACATTGAAACTAAATTGAAACAATAGGATATGATTAACTAGGTTTTTTATTCAAATTGATACAGATTGAAACCCAAATTGAAACCAAGAAGAATATGATTCACTAAGGTTTCTTTACTCAATTTGTCTAAGAATTTGAGAACATTCACAGCAGTCACACCACAAATCAACAATGAAAGCTAAATTGAAACCAATAAAACACTACAAGAAAAGTGGGTTTATGAGACGAAACTATTTGCGACGGCACACTTGCCGTCTCAAAAAGTCACTTTTTGCGATGGCAAAAAATTGTCGTCTCAAAAAAGCAGAGTATTTGCGACGGCACCATTTGCCGTCTCAAAAAAGCAGAGCATTTGCGACGGACCAATTTGCCGTCTCAAAAAATGAGAGTATTTGCGACGGCAGAAAATACCGTCGCAAATACTCTCATTTTTTGAGACGACAAATTGTGCCGTCACAAATGTTCTGCTTTTTTGAGACGGCATTTTTGCCGTCGCAAAAAGTGACTTTTTGTTTTTTTTTTGTTTTTAGTGAATATTTTAATTTTTAA